ACAGGCTGCACTTGATGATAATGCCGAAAGTTTGGATATACGGCTTTAACAGTACAGTACAGTAGATGTGTGTAACTCGAGGCGGGGTTAAAGTTCAGCTCTATGGAGCGCTGAAGCGTCGCGCGCACTTCGCAGAGTTGGAAATGTGAAAGCAAGAAGCAAGGCTTTATTTTCCCTCTCTCCCTTCTTCTCTGTCTCTCTTTTTTTCTCTTTTCATACACACATATACATACACACCCCATACATTCACACATACACACCCTCACTCACACACACGCACACACACAACATATACATCGCCAATTCAAGAATTAAAACCGACAGATATGTATTCTCCGCTATGCCTAACACAGGTAAGTGACATTTTCGTCTATTATTAACTCTGTTTGTTGCGTTTGAGCGGTGTCTTTGGCCGGGACAGCGCGGATAGGGACTAACCTTTGCATTAGACAAGTAACTTAGTGTGCACTAAGGCATTTACTGAGCTACCACATGGCGGATGGCGCCCACCTTACACACATTAATGTTTCTTGTGCACATTTATCTACAGTTGTGTTTTATTCTAGCCGCTTTTTGCATGGGCACGGACGTTGATATTTAGCAAGTTAAGCGCTGTGCATGAAAGAAAACGTTACACTGAGTCAACGTTATGCACGTTTGATCCGGTTGCACTCTTTAAAATAAAGTTCTTTAACGATTCAGCAAAGAAATCTTTTCTAATTGGGTTGCTTTATGGTTATTCAAAGATTAAAGAGTTCTCGGTGTAGGGTTTCTTTAAAGCACAACAACTCATGAAATACAAAATAAAAACTCTTTGCATGACTGCTATGACACCAAGCTGTTTTAAGTTTGGAGTTTAAAACGTCACATAAACGTCTTCACCTTTAAACACATATTTGAGATCATAATAGTCTTATTTGGGTGCATTTTGTTATTAAATATCAAAACACCTATGCCGTTTTCTGTATTAACTTTAGTTTGAACCAGCTGCCGGCAATAAAAAGCTTTTCTGTTGCTTACATGAGACTTTTTCTTCAAGGCAGCAGAAACTCTTTGATTTATATTTTTGAAAGCTTCAATGCCTCTATATTTCTGATATTTAGCAGCAGTTCTAAATATTGATAAGTTGAGTAAGTAGTTTTTTTAACTGTTAAAAGTTAAGACTGTTAGATTTGATGCTGTCATGCTTGATATCTTAGTTTATAATGTGCTGTTATATATATATATATATATATATAT